AGGAGGTCGCGATGTGGGGTCTCGGAATTCCGAGACGACTGGTCGACGACGACCACACGGGATCTGGTCCGAGATTGGTTTCCCGTGGCTCGGAAGTCGACCGGGGTCGAGACCGGTGTGGACGGGGAGGTGCACTCCAGCCGGTCTGGGATGCCTCCAAAAATTAGATGAGAATTTTGTGTGAAGAAGGAGACGGGAGATTCAGTCTCGCCTCGTGCTGAGGACTGAAAGGGACACACACTAAAAATAAAAACCACAAACATTAATAACAGAGACACGATGTGTCATTCACAAAAATAGTACAATGTCGTTGAAACCGAGCTGGTTTTAGCAAAAATTTTACACGAACATATTTCTTTGTTTGACTTAACTAAACTAGTTCCTATAGAGAGACTTGTGTCCTACCTCGAGTTTGAGAGAGAGAGAGAGTCCAAATGGTGTTCCACTGAAGGAAAACTAAAGGACGAAGAGTGTGTTATAGGAGGAGCCAGACCATTTAGGGCTTTGAAAATAAATAAAAGGATTTTAAAATCAGTTCTGAACCGAACTGGAAGCCAGTAACGCTTTTTTGAATGTGGTTTGGAACATGATGTGGAGTTTCATCACGGCAGCATTTAGCTGAGTTTCTGCTGGGAGAGTTCTCCTGATGAGATCTACTCTCTCTCTGAAGGCCGCTACACACCAAGCTGAGACCAAAGAACGCGTACCGAAGGCGTCCCCACTTTTACGTCGCCTGCGTCGGCTACGCCGCCCGCCTACGAACACACCGCAAAGACTTCAGTCGACGAGTGGCAATAACTGTCCTCACCAGCAGGCAGCGGTAGTGTCTATTCGTCATTCAAAAGAGGCAACAACCGGAAGACAGACTATACACCGAGAGAAGAAGAACAGAGTGCGTGATACAAACAAACAACACATAGCGTCTGGGTTCCACTCTCACTCTCTCTCCTCCATCGAAAACATGGAAACATAAAAAAGAAACTCTTGCGTCCGGGTGTGACTTCTTAATCGTTTGTTTTGGTCCCTCACTTCCGCTTCGCTTCTCGCTAAGCTGAACAGCCAATCAGAGTGATTTCTTTATCCCGACTTTCTTTGGCCTCCCGCGGCCGATTCAACAGGAGGTGTGAAAATGTGCCGTAAAGAGACGACGGTGCGGGACGCACCGACCTGAGTAGGGCGCCGCGAATGCCCGACTGCCTCTGACTCCCAAACTCGGGTTGGTGTGTAGCTGCCTTTAAGCTACAGACCCAGAGTCAGCTCTTTAGTAACAGCTGGAAGAGAGAGGGGGGGGCTACAAGGATCTGTTTGGGGTTTGGAGCAGGACACTTCAGAGACATGTCCTTAGTAACAGCTGGAAGAGAGGGGGGGCTACAAGGATCTGTTTGGGGTTTGGAGCAGGACACTTCAGAGACATGTCCTTAGTAACAGCTGGAAGAGAGGGGGGGGCCTGTAATATATGACTAAAGATAGCATGATAGGAGAGCTTTAAATAAACTCCTGGGGGAGGATTCAGATGTTTCTGATGTTATGGCAGATGAACAGCAGGTATAATCTAGGTATGAAACAGTACACCTGTGATGCAGTGACGGTGTGTGTCTCCTCCCCAGCGGGCAGCCCATCCCTCGCATCGAGTACACCCCGGAGGAGGTGAGGACGTGGGGGGTGGTGTTCAGAGAGCTCAGCCAGCTGTACCCCTCCCACGCCTGCAGAGAGCACCTGAAGAACCTGCCTCTGCTGGAGAAACACTGCGGATACAGACAGGACAACATCCCCCAGCTGCAGGACGTCTCCCAGTTCCTCAGAGGTCTGATTCATCATCATCATCATCATCATCATCATCATCATCATCATCATCACCACCACCACCACCACCACCACCATCATCATCATCATCATCATCACCACCACCACCACCACCACCTCATCCTCATCCTCATCATCATCATCATCATCATCACAAAGGTATCCCAACTGTAGCTGTGTACATGACATGATAGGCGCTTTCAGAACTCTTTAGTTCTGATGAACTAAGTACAGATCGCGTTCACACCGGAATAAGTCCCTGAGGGTGGATTAGGCAAATGAAGCCGCTGACGTCACTTCTTCTTCTTCTGCTTTGGGTTTACTGGCAGGCCGCAAACAACTTCACGGCATATACTGCCACCCGAACTTCCCGGCCGGAA